TGTGAAAACATACAATTAAGGGAAAAACTAATTACCCTTTTGTGGTGAAACTGCCTGTTTGATATTGAGGAGCCTGTTTCCATAGTGACCAATTTCCTTTTATAAACCTGATCTTTCCAAACAATTAAAAGCCAATCCAGCCAAAAGAAGAAAAGGGATACAGTTCTCCAGGATATTAGCCTGTAATGATTCTAGTTCTGTGATTCTTATTATCTGAAAACATTCATTCTGAAAAACCATGTATTTTGATGCCATCAGTGCCCTCCCCTCATCTTATTTATACACTTGCGTATATGATATCAGTTTTTCAGTGGCTTTAACTACTACCTGCATCCTGGAACTCCAGGCCAGACCTTCCTTAGGAGCTTCCAAATCACACATCCAGCTGCCTACTCCTATTGTTCTTTGGATATCACAAAGTGCGCCTCAAGTTGACATGTCAACCCCTAAGTCATCATCATTCATCATTCTTCGTTTCCCCTCACCCCCAAACAGATCCTGTTCTGTAACGCTCACATAACCTATGTCTATAAATGGTTCATCATCTACGCAGTTGCTCCAGACAAAAACCTGGGTGTTGTTCTTGACTTCTCCATCCAGCCACCAACCTGTTTGTTCTGTTACTTTACTATCTCATTAATTCTTTACTTCTTTTTTTCTAAACCCAGTACCACTGCCTATAGGGAAATGCTCTGCCATGGTACCCTGCCAACCTTGCATGTATCCAAATAGGCCATGTAAGCAAACACTTGAACTGCAGCTAATCTGAGTATTGGCAGAATATCTTGTGATCCCAGAACATGAGAGAATGGAGGCCTCTGAGGAGCTTCTGTGGGTCAGTTCCTCGCTCTCGCCTTTATCTCCCCTGGGAGGCTGTTATGGGACAGGCTTTGCCTTGTCTTGTCTTGTGTGTGTAAACTTGACGCTGACTTAATTGAATCTGAATTTCCTTCTCATTCGATGTCTTCCAGTTGGTCTCTCAGCCTCCAGTCTCACTTCTCAGTTACCTCCTCCATCATCCCTACCGCTGCCAGAGTGACCTCACTGAACACAACTCTGATTTTACCCCTCCCACCACCCTCCAGGGAAGAAGGCTTTTCATGGCCGATTCTCTGCACACCTCACCCGTCTCACTGTTGCCTCACTATCGTCTGTCCTGGCACACTACATTCACACTGCTCCAGCCACACTCAACCACTTACATGTCCTTAGAGAGAGCACATGTGCTCAGTGCTTTTGCATCTGATCCTGCCTCTACATGGAATACTCTTTCCTTCCTCTGTAGCCAGCTACTCATATTCAAAACAAGCTCAAGTGCCCCTTCTTCCAGAAAGGACCTCCTGATCCTCCTACTTTAGCCTGCACCACATGCTCCCATGAGATCCTGTCTTGCCATTGTCTTTGTGTGTAGTGGTCAGTTTTTATTGTCTGTTTACAAGTCTGAATCCTTCTTAGATTCTGAACTTCTTAAGACAAGCGCTATTTTTTATCTCTGCATCTTCAGATCCAGCCACAATGCATACTACAGAGTATCAGTAAATCCCTAGAGAGGAAGACAGGGAGGGTAAATAAGGGGCAGGAATATGGTTGTGTAACTTTATATACTAGATGTCATCAAGAAACAGTGTATGTAGATTTTACATAATGTAGAAATTTTGTTCACAAGAATTCCTATGAGGAAGCAAGACCTGTTTTTGTTTTTTGTAAATACTTTGGTTAAGTGTTTGGGGTAGAATCTGATGCCCTGAAAGATCCTGGGTGTGGAAAGAATTGCTGTGTGCCAGGAAGATGGAGAGTTTTGAGTGTTGCCCTGGAGAGGGAGCGAGTTGGAAGGCAGTGGGAGTGCAGTGCAGTGTCTTTTCTAGTTAGGTGGTGGTTATTGTCTGGTGCCATCAAGTCATTTTCGACTCATAGCGATCCCATGAGATGGAGCAGAACTGTCCCATAGGGTTTTCTAGGCTGTAGTCTTTACGAGAGCAGATCGCCATGTCTTTCTCCCGCAGAGCCGCTGGGTGGGTTCCAACTGCCAACCTTTTGGTTAGCAACCATCTTCGCAACTGAGCGCTTAACCATTGTGCCACCAGGGCACAATAAATAAGTGAAATGGATTTTTTTTTTTGGAGGGGGAAAGTGAGCCAGAGAAATGAGCTGGTCTTCAAGTCCAGACTGACGCAGGGCAGCATGCAAAGATGCAGGACCAGGAGGCTGAGGAAGGATGGAAAAGTCAGCCACAGAACATGTAGAAATCAAAGGGAAGGCTCTTTGAGGCTTACAGCCTTTGGAATTGGTGTTCTAAGTCCAGGGTTATCCAGCTGACAAGCTAACTAATCTCATATCCACAGGGTAAGATTCAGAGGAAATGGACATGTTGGCTGCTGCCGAGGCTTTTATCTCAGCTTTGAACAAAGTGTTGTTCTAGGGCAGGAAAAACAACCACGGGGTGAAACAATGACACGTGAGGTCGTTCCCCAGTCCCTTACATGGCCTGACTAGTCCAGTCTTTAAAAATACTGACTTTGAAGGTCAACTCTTCAGACAGGAATTGGACTGGACTGTGGGACATAAAGTGATACTTGTGAGGAGTGTGCCTCTTAGCTCAAGTAGATACAAGAGACTAAACGGCCAGCTTCTGTCCGGAGGT